CTCTTTCCTTTTCCCCAATCACAGGCAATGATTTCCTGCCTCTATATTAATTTTTCTGCTACTCATCTCTACTAGTTAGACCACATCTAACCTTTAAAGTCCATCTCAAATGTCATTTCTTTATTGAAACATGGCTAATTTTCTACAATATCAGATAGTCTTATGTCCTGAGTTTTATCTCCCCACCTCAGAAATTAGAAGTCACTCCAGATTCCCTTAAAGCTAGGAAGGAGTCATAAGACTCAGTGTAGACAATCAGGAATACCCATTTGATGCATTCCTTTAAGAAAGAGCAACGTGAGAGGCGACTCTGCTCAGAAGAAAGAATCTTCTGACAACTGTAGAAGAAGCCTCTGGTTCTTCATTAACAATGTGATCTGAGCTTCAAGATACCATCTTTCACTGAATCTAAGAAATTATTAACTAAAGGTGCATCATTACTCCACGTACCTCCAAAATAATTTTTAATGCTGCCAATAAAGCTATGATACGATGTATTCTTATGACTTAGAACTTTTACACTTATTGAAAAACTTGTTAGATATATAGAGATAAGTATTTTCTATAAAGCAGTTGGTTGTTATTCACAGTCTGACTTTTCTGAATAACTTCCAGACTCAGAATCAACCATGTCCATGTTTTGTCCCACAATATCAGCCTTTATGTCATCAGGACTGTTAGTGATGCAGCATTATTTAAAAGAGTGCTCCACTATTGTCTCTAGGAATTATTTCTAAGCTATGAGAGCCAATTCTATGAGTGTTGATGCATATGAACAGGCAACAACAGTGACATCATAAGTGCCACTCCACCAACACCAATTGTGATATGCAGTCCAGTTTTAGAGAGATGTATATGTTAGAAAAAAACTGTTTTAAAAAATTAAGTAGGTTCTATCTCCCCTAGAGTTATGGGTTACTCTCCATTGTTATGATATGTTATAGTCCATCCAATGAAAAATTGGTTAGAAGTGCCTAAAAGGCCATAAAATGGAGCAAATACCTCAACGCCTAATCACCAATCCTACAGTTTCCACCAGGCTAACACATTAGACTATGACACATATTCGAAGTACTTTACCAAGGAGCTATAATAAGCAGACTCAGAAGGGAGGAATGAAAGATGTAATTTTAGCTAATTTGGACTTCACTGTCTCACACAGGGAAGGCACTTTAACACTTAGATTCCCATGTACATCACACCTCTCGGATCTCCTAGGAAAACTTCACAACTTCCACAAGATAAAGTCTGATATTTGGTTGTTTTATGAGTTCTCCATCTCAAGGTATATCCTAGGCTTCAGTTAGATCAACACTGACAGTCACCTCTGTTCCATCTCATGGTGTCTAGGTGAAAGATGGGCTATAGGTATTGGCAAGAGTGAAGATGGGTTAACACAAATTACAGAACACCAGTGAGAGCTATGAATCCTCTAGTTCCTTCACAAAGTAACTATATCTGTTAGAAATTTCTCAGCTGCAAATAACAGAAAACTCAACTCAAAGTGGCTTAATATTTATACCATTGATTATCTCTCCTAACACAAATTTCATAGGTAGGTGAATCTCCAGATATCACATAAGTGACCCTGACTCTGCTTCTCTAAGACCTTCTTGGGTCTGCCTTCCTCTGTAGGTTAGCTTCATCTTCAGACTAAGAGCAAGATGGTTGCCACAGATCCTGGCACCCTATCCAGATAAAACTGTCTACATAAGGTAGAGATGACTCTCTCTATTTTTCTTAGTAACAAAGAAACTCTTCCCAGTATTCCTCCATTCAAGACTTTATTGAACAGAATTAAATCACATGCCTATACCTAACCAATTACTACAAAGGGATAAGGTTCCCCACGATTGATTTAGACCATCCAGGACCCAACTTTAGGGCTGAGGGTCATAGGAGGGGCCTGCCTAGCTCCAAAGACTGTGGTCATATAGAGAGAGGTAGCTGCCTAAATAAAATTTGGGTCCTATTAAAAAAGAGGAAGAATGTTTGAGAAATAATATTAGGTTACCAACGATTTCTAGTAAATCGCTCTAAAATATTACTTTTTCTTAGAGATGGTACACTCTAATCATTATTGATGAAAGAATACTCACAGCAACAAGATTGTTCCCTCTACTTTAGGAGTAAGCATTATTGTGCTATGGCAATGGGATCTTTTCTGCTCCTTCAGAAGCCTGGTGCCATCAAAAGAGGGTTGAGGATTTTATATGCCCTTTCTTTCTTATTGAAAAAAATGATATTTGTATATGGTTGTCTTTATTCAAGTTACCCTTCTGATACAGAAGGAGAAAAATGGAGGGCTTAATTATTTTATATAGGCCTAATCTCCCCTCAGACACACACAAGGGAAAAGATGGTGTATTTTTCATATTTATATATCCTATAGAACTAATCTCATAGAATAGGAACTCAATTCAATAAATAAATAATGAATTGGATTGTTAATCACATTAATTATTTCCAAACTTAACATAAACCTTTATGATAGGGAGAGTTAAGGCTCCAGTTTAGGTCGTGAGTCATATCCAACCTGCGCACTTTAGCAAAGCTCCTTTGGCTTTAGGATACTTTCCTTTCTGTGACTCCAATCACAAATATCTCCCTGAAGCAGGGACCTTCAAGCTGGAAATCTCATGCTTTTTACAGTCATGATGAAGGCTTAGGTAAGAAAAAATTATAGTCTCTAATTCAGACAAGCATTCTCTGTAGAAAATCAGACCTCGATCAGACCTTACTAATCCATGTTCTGTCGGCATCGCCCATTGGGTGGATCCTTACTCCTAAGAATTAGTGAACTGAAAATTTCCCTAGGAGGGAATATGAAAATTTTAACAAATGTACACACAAATAGTTTAAATGAAATTCTCTATATTATTTGAGGTTTCCCCCCTTTTCTCTTTACTATCCTGCTCCCTTATTTAATATCCCCAGTTAAAGTCTGGGTTTTTCCCCTTTCCTCGTAGCAGTGTATTTTCCAAATATACTGTTTCATGCCCTTTGGTTCTTATTCCTTGGTTTCCAATTCTTATCTTTCTATTCTGACTCAAGCCTCAAAGTTTGTTGTTATATCTAAAAAGTCAGTAGATATCATGGTTACCCAAAGGGTCAAACTGACTCTCCCCCAAAATGAACATTGCTGATTCTTAGGATGCCACAGGGATTGTACTAGCCACAGCTAAAATAGCTATCCAAACAAAGATGCTTCGATAATAGCCGCTAATGAAAAATACCAACCCCTGTTACAAATCAATTAGCTACTCCTGATTTAAAAGATATTCAGTATGGTATTAATGCTGAGAATCAAGAAGGATGGTATTTCCTGAACTGGTTTACACAATTCCCACATTTACCAGGTAAAGGAAGAAAAGCATTTAGAGAATATAAAGCCAAACAAAATGTCTCAATCTTAAGATCATTTTCATTGTCTAATTGTCCCAATGTGTTGTCAAATGCTCACCTGAATGCCTGAGGAGGGAATAATTTAGATTAAGAGCTATATATTTCTGTATAGAATAATGGTCAAATGTAATATATACATTTAATTAACTCTCTCAATAAGGTTTTGCAACTTATGAAGTATTATTTCATTTGATCATGGCAGCCTTGTGAAGTATGTGCTAACGCTATCCGCATTTCACAGGTGAACAAACTGACTTTGAGAGGTTCTGTGCCTTTTTTATGTTTATAAAAATAGATGGTAAAAGGAAGAGCCAGGACTAAAATCTATGTCTTTGACTCAC